TTTCCCGGATCCAGTGCTGGCCGGCGAAGGGCCGGTGGAAGCTGGCTGGGGGACGGCAGGCGTCGTCACCGAAGGGCCAGCAGTGGATCCCGACTGGGACGAACTGGACTTAGCTGTGGATGTGGCTAACCCCGTCGTAGGAGCAGCAATTGCCGTGGATCCAGTTGATACCACTGCCTGGGACGACGGCGCGACCGTGGATCCGGTCTTGGACGCCGATCCCGACTTTGATATAGCGACGGATCCAGCCTTGGCAGTCGATCCGGACTTGGATGCCGTGGATCCCGCTTTGGATGCAGCAACGGATCCAGTCTTGGATCTAACTCCCGCTTTGGACGTAGCTACGGATCCAGTCTTGGACGCCGTGGATCCAGTCTTGGACGCCGTAGACCCAGTCTTGGGTCCAGATCCAGGTTTTTACGTAGCTACAGATCCATCCTTGGATCCCACTCCCGCTTTGGACGTAGTTACAGATCCAGTCTTAGACACTGATGTCGACTTAGATGTAGCGGTGGATCCGGACTTGGATCCGGCACCAGACTTCGAGGGGGAGGCGGAAGTCTTGGACGTGGATGTGGATCCCGCCTGCGAGGCCGCCTTAGAGGCCGAACTCGTTTTGGGCTTGGCCTTTGGGGAAGCTCGGGCATGCTTGTGAGGACGGGGGGATCCAGTGCTAGTGAGCGGAAGATGCACTACGCGGTCGTTTTGCAGCCGACGGATCCGCCCCACTTACAGACGGAAGAGGAGCAGAAACGCTGGCAGCAGAAGAAGGCCCATACATGGGAGGAAGGGGATCCTAGATAGCAGCTGTCACCAGCGCCAGTCGTGTGCGTGACAAATCCCTGTCCGATAAGCCACGATCGCGCTCCTGAACTAAGCATGAGCTGCAGCGAGATGATCCCGAAGTTTCACTGCGGTTGCATCAGCATACTTCAATATGTCATCTGTATCGACATAACAGGTGAATATCGGGATACTAGCGGAGGACAATAGAGGACCCACGTACTCGTGCGGCGAAGCTTGGATTCCAGCTCCGTTTGCGTTCGCTGGGCATCCGCTCACTCGGTAGCTGCCTTGTCCCGCTGGCGTTCGGTGTCCGCCAACTTCGCTTGGATCTCGTCGCGCAATTAAGTTATACGTACGAATTCTTCGAGCGCGTAATCTCGTCCAGCAGAAGCCTTCTCGAGTGACTCCTTGGTATCTTTCAACTCCTCAGAGAGACGAGCCAGAGCTACATCCGGCGATGAGGGAGGTGGATTTGGCGCGGGGGACCCTCCGCGCGCTGACCCTAATGCGGATCCGCCATGGGTGGATCCCACATAGTCGTTAGTTACCGCTTCTTTTTTGGGTCAGGCGCAACTCGTCACGGAGTCGATCCAAGCTCTCGTCCGCGGCCGCACTAGCCGTCTGGGAATCCTCCAGATCTCGCTCGAGGTCGTGGATCCGGGATTGGAGCTGGTGGATCTCAGATCCGGCGAGTGCGATCTCCCTATAGAGGTGATTATTGTCATCCCGCATACCATCTCGTTGACGGGAGGCGCGATCCAGCCGTCCGGTCAGGTCGCGGATCTCGACCGCTTGATCAGCCAACAAAAGTCTTAGGTCCTGCGAACGAGAGGCCGCACGGTGCTCCCACCCCTGGATCTCCATAGCCTGGTCATGGACCTAGGTTCGCAAGGTTTGGAGTTGAGTGGCAAGAATGGCCACCAGGGCGTAGCGGAGGGGGCGGTCCATGTCGGAGCATGTCATTCCTCCGTCTTAAGCAACGTTGATGGGGTCATCCACCCAGTGATAGTTGAAGAAACCGTCCGGGGAAGTTGCGTTCGTATGACAGCCATGAACGTGGAAAATCGCTCCGCCGAAGATCTCGTAGAATCCAGGAGAGCCTGTCCATCCGAGAGGCGCAGACAGCTCGATCACCAGTGCGTTCGCCTCCTCGATCATCCCGGCAAACAGGTAGACGCTGTTGCTGTGAATGCTAATGTTGCGGAAGGCCGTAGCCATGTCGCCCGCCATCACGTATACGGGTACATCGGGAAATGTTAGCTTCATTTTTAAAATCGCCCGGGCTACTGCGTCGCGCAATGAACGTAATCAGGCTTGGTAATGCTTTCTTGATCAGTGCAATCGTTGATCGATGTTCCTTCAGGGTATGACGGATCGTGGTTCGTACGGCCGGAAACCTTAGTGTCCTCGCTGCCCTTGTCTACGACGCCGAAGGGGCTACTGATTATCTCTGGCCACTGCTTCAGAAGATCCATGTCGAGGACCAGGCACCTCCAAGCATCTTGTTCCTTCCTGATATTCTTGCGCAGGATGGTGATCCTGTCCCGAGCAGAACCATGATTCACTGATCGAACAGACTACCGAGGCGGCGTTTCTTTAAGCTGAGCTTCGACGCCTTCTCGAGCAATCTTCTGCACCTGCGCCAAGTGCTTGTATTCTCTGCATAGACCGCCAAGAACCACTGGGACCAGATTCTTGTTCGAGCGATAGTCCGCTCCGTTTGTCTCTGAACCAGCTCCACGAACACCGGTAGTGGTAATGCTGAACGGCGTGCGAGCTCCGATAGAGAGCGTTGCAATGACTTATTAAGCAAGTACACAGGTTCATCAGTGCCTTCTTTTGTTGTAGAAAATTAGGCGCTGGTAGCTTTATGCCGAAGCTGTCCATAACCTTCCCGAGCGTAGTCATTTGAACTTGTCGGTTCAGGTTCCGTCGCCGGCGTGCATTCTCATGCATTTGGTCCGCGGTTTTACTTGAGACTACAGGGCGACGTGGGGCTTTTCCGATCCGAAGTATGTTTCCTGTGCCATCTCTGTTAGCCGAGTGTACCTTGGCTGGATTTGCTTGACTTGTAATCGACGTCGGAGGCATGCTTGCAGATACATCGGGATTCATCGGGATTTTGACCTTGGTAGACTTCGTATTGTCGCATCGGTCGTTTCGTCAAACTCGCTAGTGTTCAGATCGACTGACCTGGATGGGCTGCCCCCCGGAGGGCGTGTATACTTGGATGGCTGTATAGACGACATGGATTGTATAGTCAAAGCAGGCCGTTTACTCGTGGGTGACTGTATGGTCGACCCGGACTGTATAGTCAAAGGAGGCTGTATAGCCGAAGACATCACTTGACTCGATAAACCGCAGGTTAGGGAGAGCCTGGAAGGTGAGGAACCCGGTACATCGGCAGGTGAGGAGAGGATATCATTAGCGAAACGGAGGCCTTTCGGAGAAATTTCTCGCTCGCGCGGCAAAATCAGATGCAGTACTCGCTGGCGGCTATGGATGATTTGAGTGTGGCGTGACGCACGTTTCGCGGGTACCACCCGAGCCCTACACTACACTCAAGCCACATTCCGGCGAAAGTAATAGACACCTCAGCGGCACCTCAGCAGCAGTGACACCGTTGCGTCACCAAGGTCTGGCGGCCCCTATCCCCATTGTGCACCGTCGGACAGGGGCACAAAGGCATTGGAAAACTGCACTGTCCGTGTGTATTGTGGGAGATGGGATATTGTGTGTGTACGGATCCCTACGTGTGAATCGTATATTTCTACGTCAGTCATAAAGCTGATCTAAAATTCCATAAAATCAGCTAATCCTTACGTGCCTGATACAGAACGCCTCTTCACGGGTTCCATAAAAGCTCGTCCTCACTTTAGCGACTGTTAGATCAAACACGGAATAACTTTTCAGGGCTCTAAATGAAGTCTTCAGTCACCCCTTTTTTAAGTTTCTAAAAGGAGGTAAATTTCGAGCGAAAGTGGGAAATGATAAAACAAAGACCCTTTTTGTCCTAATAGAGAGATAAATCAGAGTTTTAAGAATGGTGTGCGTTACACTAAAGGGGGGGCTTTGCAATTAAAATAAATATGCTGCTCCGACCTGCAACTTGTGCCGTCCGCCGAGCTCCACGTGTTGCCTCATTTGCTTCTAGAAGCAATCGACGCGCTGCTTCATCCATATTAACGAAACTACCCTCTCAGCGACTGCCTCTGGGGGTCCAGCGTTGCGATTGTGCTGTAGTGTTTCGAGATTTATCGACAACTTCTGGAAGAAACAAGGACACGTGGGTGGAGGGGGTGCGATCGACGTGCAAAGCATTCGCAGTCAATACAACTGTTAAATTTTTAAATTCTTGCGTTTGTGCTGCTACTGCAGCATGATGCGGGTGCTCCGACGGGATCTAACCCTCGAATGAACGAGTTGATTGAATTGTTCAAAGAGAGTCGCATGGAGGTTTGTCGTGTTAATAGAAAAAGAATATCGGTAATGCTGCTACTGACAGCGTGACGGCTTACTATGGTGCGGATAGGGACATAACAAGCGGGAGCTGAAGCAGTCCATGGAGCTCTACGCCCTCCTCAAACTGCGCAACCAACCAGGTACTACATGCTAAGGTCCAAGTAAGGGCCTCTGTAATGGGACAGTATTTTATGTTTGGTTTGCGTAATTCGCAGATGCTGATACATTCGAAGTAGCCTTCGGCATTGCGCAGATATACGATAACCTGCTCGAGGATGGACAGACGGCCACAAAGTACTATGGAGAAGCCTTTGAGATTTTAGAGACCATCTCGACGAACGTAACGGCTTGGGGTGCATATATGCGAGTGACTACGCTTGCTGCTCTTGCAGTGTGTCACGAAAACCTGTATGTCATACTTGTTTGCTGTTTGCTCTTAACTCGTTGCTGACTGAAGCGTGGTTGCCAGTGGTCAATCTGAGGAAGCTGCTACGTACTTTGAAGACGCCATTGGAGCGTACGAGGAGCATTGCGACCAAGCGTCGGCCCTGGATGCTGATGGGGGTAAGATATCGGGCTCGGATATCTCTCTTCTTGCCGATCTCAACGCCACGGCTGCCATGGTTCACTACCACTACGCTGGCAATTTGCTTGCTCGAAACTACTGGGACGAGGCCAAAACGGTCACAAAGATCGCGCTTGGGCTTGCGGAGAATTCGAGTATGCCGGCGGAGGACCTGCAGCAGTACATTCACGAGCTGTGGCTAGGGTAATAGTGGTACAGCGGTAAGCATCAACCCAAAACTGTACTGTAGTACTACTATTTTGTACTAGTATTGAGCATACAAACAAGGCCGGGATGAATATACTTCAGTACGTAATACCTCGAAGTAATATTTTACTATCTCCGCTTAGAAAATATATCACTTTCCAAAAAAAAACGACGCTCCGCCTCGTTCTTTTTCATGATTATAAAGTTGCGGAGGGCTAATGATCCTTCTGTGTACTGTGCTGCCAACTTAGCTGTACAGTATTCTGCGTGAATAGTGAGCGGGTGATGAACGCATAAACTACCACAAAGAATAATACCACCCTATCAGCGCGACACGAGAGGAGAGGTGCACAAGGTACATGTATTGAGCTAAGAGTGAGTCCCCCTACAAGCACAAAATCCAGTGCATTTCAACATTTCAAATTGGCGCGGCTTTTGGCGCCTTGCACATGTATGAAATACATGCATACTATGCGCATGTAGGTTAACGGACCTTCACATCCCGCCGGTACTAAGCTATTTAATCCGCCATGCCCGCAATCCTACGCGGCGGCTACGCCTTACCTGGGCTGAGAAGGTGGTCACTCTCTCGTACTATGTCCTACAAGGCAATCGCTGAATGGGCCGTAAACGAGTTCTGTCTCCCAACCACTCCCCGCAAAGCCACCATGTGTTGTATTTTCAAGTCGTCAGCTACACTACTGAAGCAACCAGTGGAGAAGGCTACTCTATTATCAAAAAAGTGATGCATGCATTAAATCGCTTAGGAGAAGGACACGCCGAGCCTTAAAAAGTGGATTTACTAACTGCATTGATGGGGTGGGAGGGTGTGATCAAAGGTGAGCGCGACAACCATTCGACATTCGGGTTTAGTTAACAAAGCGAGCATCAATTACTTGCTTTGTTAACTTATATCAATACAGGCTGTTTTTCGCTCCAAACTGCTTTGAGGAATATACTACAGACTGGCATATATATCAGGCGTTCACTATTCACGCAGAATACTGTACACTGCGTTTCGGGAGTTTTGACCTTTGAAATGATAATAGACCCGACATTTTATGTTCAAATTGCTTAACTGCGGGTGTGCTTGTTCCACCACATCAGTGTAGCTGTGGTGTAGCGGGATCAGCAAACTGCGAGATTGCTGGATCCAACTTACCAACTGCGCCCAGACACCGACTAACGGAGGGGGTCCCCCGATGATCCGTGTTCTGCTGAACTTTCCTCACCTTGTGTACCCGTCGGTAGGGCGGGATCTTGCTCTCTCGGTAACTTCCGAAGAGTTCAAGTGGTGAAGCTTGAGTGTCTTGGCGAGACGTGGGGATGGGGTGGAGCAGCAGTGGAAAAACTTCACTCTGCGTCCGCGGATGGTTCCGAATCCTAAGCGAATATTCGAGCTTATGGATCCGGGGCCTAGATCGTGGATCTGGCCGTAGGGTTGCCTTGCGGGTGTGTTTCCTTGCCTTTATGTTTCCTTTGCGTCGTACTTGCCGCCTCCTGTGACGGGATCTTGAGAGTTGAGAACCTCTAAGGTGTAACCGACCAAGTAGTAAATTCGGCTAGTCTGTCGGATCTGCACAAGTAAAGGAAAAGCTCACTAGGCTGTAGGATCTGGCCAATGTATTATCCAGTTATCACTACCAACACTAGATTCCCAATCCCCAACCTTCTCCGAGCTCGTACGGCCAATGTAGTTCCGGTTCTTGGGGGCAGGAAGGCACTTGCGTGATACTTTGCAAATTAGGTTCTGTATTGATACTTAAGCCTATACCTGCCTGGATTTCTACCTTCTATGTCTTTCACTTGCTAAATCCCTTACCAGGCTCGGCTGCATGTCCCTTCTTCCCTTGACCCATCATCCCAGCTGTATTATCTTCAGATCCACCAGATCCAAGGCGTAATCATTATGGTCACCCTATTATGGGTACACTCATCCGGATCCAGGTTGCTTGGATCCACTTCACTGTAAGTGTACACTCGTCGTGGATCTGAGCTCTTCAATCATCCAACATTATCTCGCAACCGTCTGTGATCCCCATTGTCCCACGAAAGTTCGAGATCCACTGCGTCCATGATCCCTGTATCCTGGATCCAGGTCCCTCTATGCGGGATCCTCCCTCCTTGGATCCGAACTCGGAAGTATGGGATCCGGGGCGCCTCGCGGTTGATCTTGACTTCTTGTTAGCCGTGGCTACTAGATCCACCTTCAGAGGGCACCTACCATCATCCGTTCATAGGATTCACACTCGATCCACTCTTATATAGTATATCCCATATCCATCTAAGTGAATCCAGGTAAGGGTGGATCCGAGATAGGTCTTGGTGGATCTTGCCTTCCCGTACACCACTCACACCAGATCCACCGTCATTTCGTACGGGGGGCCACTCGTCATGGCTAATCCACCACAGGCAACTTGCAACCGTGCCAGACAATCCAAATCCTCTCTAATCACTTGAAATTGTCACTGATTCGGGATAGTGAC